TTTGCAAAGTTGCTAAAATGAGACACAATTTCAGTCCATGACATTTGTGCTAGTTTTAAACTTCACACACAGTGAAATATTTGTTGGCAGTTGCCATTGAGTTGGCTCCGACTCAGGGCACCCATCTGTGTACAGAATGAAACGTTGCTTGACCTGAAGCATTTTCCTGATGGCTGGTATGCTTGTGTGCACTGTTGTGGGCCTTGGGCCAGTCCATCTCATGGAGGGTGTCCCTTGCTTTCACTGGCCCTCTGCTTTACCCAACACGATATCCTTCCTAGTGACTGGTTTTCCTGATGATGTGTCCCAAGCGAGCGAATCGAAATCTCACCATCCTTGCTTCCAAGAAGCATCCAGCTTGCATTTCTTCTGACACGGATTTGTTACTGCTGATGTCTAGAATTCTAGGTCAAACTTTGGAGCCATCCGGATTGTAGCAATTGGTGCCACATTTCCTCTTTTGTTAATGAATTTAAGAACAAAATATAAAGTGTTTCCCTTGTATTTTATCATAATAAAGTATTAATGGTTTGATGTGCACTGAACTTAGAAGAAGATATCAGGGAAGTGACAGTGGCTGTGAGCAACAATATTATTTGATGCTGCAAACATCCTTCTCATAGCATATGAAATCTCCAGCTCTTACACAGATTTGTAGCTCAGTGTTGTCTGGCAAAAGAACCAGTAGAGGAACTAGAGATCAATTTTTACCCATGTAATAATTACCCCAACTGGATGACTGGAACTCGTCCTTGTTGAAGTTATCATGTCTTGAGTTCTGATGACTTTTCCAGTCTTCATCAACATAAGAAATAATGGGCTATGCTTAATGAACTAACCCTCTTTTTGGATAATGGGTAGAGACATTTCTTTTTTTTTCTCCTTCCCAAAACACCAAACTCACTGCCATCACATCGATTCCGATGCACAGAGACCCTCATTGGGTTTCTAAGGATGTAAATCTTTATAGAAACAAAGACTCTTCTTTCTTCCACAGAGCGGCTGGTGGATTTGAACCACAGCCCTTTTGGTTAGTACGCAAATGCCTTAACCACTGCACCACCAGAGCTCCTTCTTTTTCCTCCTTAGGGACTTTGATAATGATATGCCCCCCGCCCTTAACAAGCCTGTAGTGTTGTGGGAAAATCTCTGTTAATAGCCCTAACTTGAAGCAACACTCGCTCCTTCCAAGGCACCCGGGGGTAATCAGGTGGCAGAAAGTCAAACTTAGTCATCAGTAAGGAGCAGCAGGTATACCAGGTGTTACCCAGGTGTTAGCAGGTGGCAGAAAGCCATATTCAGTCATCAGTGAGGAACAGTAGGCAGCATGACAGTAGGTGTTACCAGGTCCCACCAGGCAGCAGTGAGTCACAGTCTGTCTTCAGGGTGCAACACTAGACAGACAGCCTACAGGTCAGGATGCCTATACCTTCCCCCTGAGTTGTGTCTACCAGCACGACCACAGTTTTTTATGTCACTAACTGCTTTGGCCTTGAGTCATCAGCAGTAAGTGCCCTCCTGTTCATCTACGCCCAATATCAGGAAACCACGACAGGCCTCGGTTGGAACCACAGTAAGAAAATGGTCTTTGTGTCAGGGTAGACTGAACTGTTGTAGCAAACAGACCCCAAAATGTATGAGAGTTTAAAACCATGCAAGCTGACTCTTTGCTCCTGGAATGGTTCTAGGCAGGCATCGCTGCTGTTCTCCTGCATGTGGTCACCCAGCACCTGGTTTCTTTCTGCACATGGCTCGGCCATCCATGAGGGTGTGGTAGCACTCACATCCAGCTAGTGAAGGAGAACGTGGGTGTGAGAGTGCCAGCTTGATCCTCAAAAGCCTAGACCCACAGTGGCACCAGACTCTTCTGGCCCTGTCCCACTGTGAGAACTGGTCACATGGCCTCTCCTAGATAAAGGACAGCTAGGAGATGTTATCTCACTGGGAGAGAAGGCCCAGGTGAGAACGGATTTGGAGAACTGTTTTGGCCGCCATTTTCTGCAAAAGGAGGCTAAGGTAAAGGTTAGGGTTAGGGTATCTGTTTTGGCCACCACCTGACATAAGGAAAAAAGAAAGTTAGTAGTAGAGTTGGGTGTTGGAGGGTTGGATCTGGGTCTGGGTCTGGTGTGGCAGTCTGGTCCAGCCTCTTCCACAAATGAATGGAGCCACAGAGTGAAGCTTAGGCTTAGGATGCCTGTCTCAGCCACCGTCCTACATAAGCAAAAGTAGCATTAGGCTTTGGGTTGGATTTGGGCTTCGGGTTGGGTGTGGGCCTGTGCTGGGGCTGGTGTGGGTATCTTGGCCTCTTGTATAAGAACAGAAGAAGACCAGAGCACAGGGAATGTAATTCCCCTTTCTTTCCCTGAGTGGGCAGTTTCTAGAAGCTACAGTAGTGCCTTACTTCAGGGACAAGAAGAAGCCTTTATCCTCTGACTGTAGCTGTTGTCCTGGTAATGGCTGTGCTGTCTCCAATCATTTTTTACAGAGGAAAAATATGCATGGGAGAAATGATTTTTCATGTTACTCATGCTTTTTCCATAAGGGATCCTTCTATTATTCAAGGATTACCTGCTTTCACTTGATTGATTAGAAGTTTAAACAAAAGGCCATCAGCAAGATGCTGTTCAGGACATGACTGTTTCACTGGTAACAACAACAACAATATATGGGTATGTTGATTTTCAAAGAAAATTCATAATTTTTTTACTACATGATCCATTGACAATAGCATGTAGATAAAAGATTCGGTGTGCACATTAAGTCTAAAGTCTGTGTAATATTAAAATATGTTCAATTAAGAGGCTCAGAACACTTTGTGATAGAGTATCAATAAATGCATCACCATTGTGACCATGGAAAGAGTCCCACAGGGCTACTGCTAAGCTGTTCTGATGAGTGTTTAGAGCATGTGGGGAAACCAAAGAAAGACTTGTTGTTGTTTTGTGCCATGGAGTCAGACCCGACCCATAGCGACCCCTCCTTGGGTTTCTGAAGTGGTATCACTATGGAAGTAGATTGCCCAACCTTCTTAGCAAAGAAATTATATATATACTTCTGTTTGCAAACAAGCCATTCTAATATACAGGCAGTCCCCGGTTAGGAACACAAGACTGAGGACAACTGCTGCTTACCCTTTGTGTCATGTTAATTTGCCCTCACTTAGAAGCCATTGAACCAACTGGGACCAACCCTGCCTCACAACACATTTCTCATCACAATCACCTTCACTTGCTGCACGTGCAGCTTTTAAATCATTGAAAAGGCTCTGAGACTTTCTTGCACTAAAGTAAGGCTAAATAAGAACTGTATGCATGTGTTTCAACTTACCTACAGATTCCACTTAAAGATACACTTAGGAATGGATCTTGTTCATAACTAGGGACTGCTTGTTTATGCATTGTATGCTGACAAGTTGTTCTAATATATACGCATTGTGAGCCAACAAGTTGTTCTTACACACACATGCACACACATGCACACACATACATAAAATTTCAAGAATAAAACCAAATCAATCACTGGGCTGCTTAGCAGTCATTCTTCATTGAAAGTAGAAGGAATAATAGATTCCCCCCTTTTCTTTCTCTTTGTCTCATACACACACAAAGAGCTCTGGTGGGGCTGTGGTTAAGGCATTGGGCTGCCAACCAAAAGGTCTGCAGTTCAGACCCACTAGCCACTCCACAGGAGAAAGTCTGCTTCTGTAAAGACTTACAGCCTTGGAAACCCTATGGGAGTCGCTATGAGTCAGAGTCAATTCAAGTGGGGTGGTCACACACATACATACATGTGCACCCCAAATTTATATTATTTCTAAATACTAAAAGTTATTTTTAAAAAATGTGAGTAAAAGACTAATCCAAAAAAATCAAACTCACTGCCATCCAGTTGATTCTGACTCATAGTGACCCTTAATGGGTTTCTGAGGTGGTAAATCTTTACGGAAGTAGTTGCCCCATCTTCCTTTTGCAGAGTGGCTGGTGGGTTTGAACCATGTGAGTAAAAGACTATTCACCGACTATGCTGTTTTGAATTACATGCTGGTTAACTGTTTTCAGAAGTCCATCCTTAATCTCTGTCCTAGTTCTCTAGTGCTGCTTAACAGAAATACCCCGACAGGGGGCTTTAGCAGACATTCTTTTCTCATAGTTTAGGAGGCTTGAAGTTCTAATTGAGGTGGTCGGCTCTAGGGGAAGGCTCTCTCCCCCTGTCATGGGGAAGGTCCTTGTTCCTTTTCAACTTCTGTTCCTTGGCAGTTTTGGTGATCATCATGGGGCATGGCATCTGTCTTCCCCCATCTCCACTTGCTCACTCTGCTCCTTTCATATCTCTAGAGATTGACTCAAAGCACACCCCACATTAATACTGTCTCATTAACACAACAAAGAAAACCCCCTTCCGAGTGGGATTATAACCACAGTTAACCACTGGGGTTAGGATTTGCAACACACATTTTTGGGGACAGAATTCAGTCCATAACATGTTCATAACAAGCGAGAGGTCTGGAAAGCAGCGTAGCTGCCCCAGTTCCTTCTCTCTCTCCAAAATGGACTTGATGTGTTTTCTGAATATTTGAGATCAATCATTTGACCACGTTGAACTGAGATAGACTGGAGTCCTCTGTGACCATGTGTGCAGATAGATGCGTGTCTGTCTGACCAGCAGGGAGCTGTAGCCACAAACCATCCTCCTTCAGGAGATGAGCCTAGACTTTACTTTTCTGGGGAAAAGAGAATGGCTCCATTTACTCTGAGAAGCACTCCAGTGGGATCCTGATGGTGTAAGGACTCTACGCTTCTTCTGCCACGTCTTGGAGGTCAGATTCTGGGTCTTTAACAGGAGATTGTCTGTGTTCTTTGCTCCTTCAGCCTCTGTTCCCCAAGAAGAACTACGAATGCTTGACCAGCTGTGAGTTCCTCAAGTACATCCTGTGGGTGAAGCAGGGCGACTGCCCAGCCCCCGAGCGGGCCAGCGGGTTTGCAGCTGCCTGTGTGGAGAGCTGCGAAGTGGACACTGAGTGCTCTGGGGTGAAGAAATGCTGCTCCAATGGGTGTGGGCACACCTGCCAAGTGCCCAAAACTCTGTACAAAGGTAAAGTGCCACTGGGGGCTGGAGGGGACTTGGTCTTACCCAGGGTCCTGTGGGCATGGGGAAGGGTGCCCTTCATGACACACAAATCCCAAAGACATACACAACATTAACAAGATGTGTTTGGGGCTGTATACAATCACCTTACAGTATCACTGTACCATAGCTCAAATGGACATGGGGAAAACTGGATTCTTTACATGAATTCATTTTTTAATTGGACATGTATTAAGGACAGCAACAATTCAGGAACTTGGTGTATCTGTCTCCAGTAAGAGTGAGTTAGTTCAAAAGACAGACATATGAGGTAAACATTTACATCACGTAGATACACTCCTTGGAGAGATCGATCATGGGAGAATAGAAGGGCTCTGTATGCACAGGGAGACAGCTGGGGGGCAGGAGTGCATGGAGGAAAGGACACAGGGAAGAGGTAACTATGGGGAGGAATTGGGAAGAGAGCTGTTGCATTGTGGGAAATTGCAGTCAATGTCATGAGACAAAGTATGTGTGAGCTGCTGTATGGAAAGTGAATTTTCTCTGTAAACTTTCACCCAAGTCACGATAAAAAAGAAAGAAAAAAATAAAGAGTAATTTAGTTAAGCTCAACAGAGTACATTGGAATAAATGGGCTTCAGATTCCTGGAAAACAGTTGGGGAGCAGGCAGGAGACACACTTAAAATTACTTGATAAACCTAGCAGTGTTGTATTTTTCTTCTGGTTTAATCTAAGAACATAAATGTCACTATGTAGACTTGTGATATTGGGAATAGCATCTTGAGTTCAGTCCCTGGGTGGTGCACTTAAGCACTCACCTACTAAACAAAAGGTTGGGGGCTCAAACTCACTCAGAGGCACCTTGGAAGACAGTCCTGGTGATTTGCTTCCAAAGAATCACAGCCTTGGAAACTGTGGAGCAGTTCTCTTCTGACACACATGGGGGTGCCGTAAGTCAGAGTCAACTGGAGGGCCATCACCAACAGCCACATCTTGAGCTCGCAGGAAGGGAACGAGCCTTTCTCCAAAGATGGGCATGCCGCTGAACGAACAGTTTGGCAATGCAATAGTTTACAGTCAAAAGCAGTTTCTAGAGCATTATCCATAAATCTGATTAACCTGTTTTACAAAAAAACAATTATGTTGTATTATGTGTAGCTTTAGATGCTATCAAATTATACTGTGATACACAACATTTTATTGCTTTTTTTTTGCTCTAATTTTGACTATATAACAATCAATCTAGGTTGATTAGCAGTCATTCTTCATGAAAAGTAGAGGTTGTAGATCTCTCTCTCTTTCTCTCTCTCTCTCTCTCTCTCTCTCACACACACACACACACAGGCCTTAAATGTGTATTATGTCTAAATGTTGATGTATTGATTTTATTTTAATATCTGTAAAAGAAAACTCACCAGCGGTCCGGTTTTGAATTAGTGCTGGCCAACTATTTTCAGAAGTTCCTTTTTACCTTCATCTCAAGTCAGATCTCTTGAAAGCAGCATAAAAACCAAAGAAATGAAACCTGTTTTCGTTGAGTCGATTCTGACTCACAGTGCCCCTAGAGGGCAGAGTGGAACTGCCCCCACAGTTTCCAAGGCTGTAATCTTTATGGAAGCAGACGACCACATCTTTCTCCTGAAGAGTGAGTGGTGAGTTTGAACCACTGACATTTTGTTACTAGCCAACCATTTAACCACTGTGCCACCAGGGCTCCTTGAAAGCAGTGGACCTACCCCATCTTTCTGTAGCCCCCCCTTGGAAACACTATCATCTGAAGTCTATGCAAGTCATCTAGTTTCTTTTTGCTAACCAGAAGATGGTAGTTCAAACCCACCAGCCACTCCTTGGAAGGAAGGTTGGGCAATCTACTTCTGTAGTGATACCGCCT